AGTACTGTCTATAAAATTCCAATTTCAAAGTAATAAACGATGACGTCTTATACATAACAATCATCCGTATTTGATTAAGCGCACACTTGATCAAGCGTCTCCGTGAAGGGTAATATAGTGTTTGCCATGGGACAGAGTAAATTGTCTCCCTCGTATTAACCATTCAAAATCAGGCATTTTGACATGAAGTATAATAATGTCTCTTATCCAGGTTTAGCGTTTCATTTCTTGTATGACAACCGCTATTTACGAAAGTAACGAATTTCCTTGATAACGAGGCAAATGGAGATTTTAGTGCATCAAATAACAGAAATAATAAAACCAGAAATGTTTCAGAAAAAAATATTTATTGATTGACGTGTCTCTGCTTTTTTTCTTACCTTTATCTAAAAACAAAACAAGTACTATGTGTATGTTGAATGCTTCCAATTCACATGACGAACATAAAACTGTCAAGAAAAGTGGCATCGACACTATATACACTAAAATGGCGAATAAACATTACTATGGTGTAAGGGAGGAAAACATTCAGTTAAATATCATATACCAAATAAGCGTTCACGGAAGGCGTAATAATGTATTTACTTTATTCATACTGGATATTTTTATTTACTCATTAATCTTTCGTTGTAGTTTATCACTGTCATTGATAAGTCTAATTAAGTTAGTCATATTATGTATGAAATTGGTATTGGCATTATATGTCTACTACAGGATTCGTAATTAGTTTACAGAATAAAGCAATACAATGAAATATCATATAAAACGAGTTTATACTGTATACATGCAATTGTGCTGAAAAAGATCGATATGCAGTGGTTTGCTTTTAAAACAATATTTATATAACTGCTTAACACCACTTTTTTTAATCACATTCACAATTTAAAACGGTTGGTAGTTGTTCTTAACGGGTGAAAACGAAATACTGGCAATAACCCATCAACCATATCAGAGTAACAAACACATCAAAAACAAACCGGCATATCCTACGCCTCTTGCCATTTGTTCTGCAGGACCTTGCAGTATTACAGTGATACAATAATGTCTTTATTTTCAAACTTGAGAATTTAAAGAGATGTGCAGTAAATATTTTAAAAGTTAGACCCCAAACCAGTATGGATACTTACATGTATGACCATCCGTTCTGTTGATACTATTTACTTATGTTTTAGCCTAGCACATTGTCATGGCCAGACTGTTTATGATTGATACTTTAGTCTTGGAGAATAATCATCATTTATTTATAAATTGTAATTGGCTTACAATAACTGTGACATTTTGTCATACACGAGCCTTTATTAGCTGACTATACGATATAAGTTTTGTTGAAGGCCGTTTAGTGACCTATAAGTGATTAAATTCACGTCATTTGGATTCTGCTAGATGTGTTGTCTCATTATCAATCATATAGTGTACATGTACCACACCTCCTTATTTTATAAACGTTACATAATACAAACACCCCTGAAACATGGCTGCGAACATAATGTTCAATTAAGATTTAAATTCATTGCCACTGAAAATTTGCTATTTGACTTATTTGAAATTATGTATCAACAAAATGGCGGTATTTGCTACAAATACATTTTATAAAGTTTATTCTTTCATAAAAGAAATTATAGATCATTATAGTTCATAGTAACATTTACAAAATGTACAATATAGTTTTTATGATTTCCAACTTATGCATCATTTATTTTTATATTTTGCTCTCCAAATTTCCTACCCTTTCATCCCAGTCACCCACTCTCTATGACCTATCAATTTGATTTATAATAATTGTTAATTATTATCGTTTTGAATATGCATGAAATATTTGCTACTGCAAGCAACAATCAATGACTTATCATAATAAAAAGAAGTATAATAGCTAAATTGCGTTCATTAAAACAAGAATCTGAATCAACCAAATTGCGAGAGTCCTCTATTATTAATTTTTCAATTATATTTATCCTTTTACAATAAGAAATGAATTAATATTTTGACATAAACATTTCCCCGTGGATGTCTGTGTTTCATATTAAATCGAGTTTTTTTTCCGACATAGACTGAATAATTCAAAAGTTTCTATTGCAAATTTAATGAATCGATATTACAACAAAAGATACTTATAATGGTATCGATTAGCTGGTGATCAAAACTTGGGAAAATCATTTATATGAATTCTTGTGTATGTTTTATGGATTTGTTTAGTATAAAAAGAAAAAGAAAAACAATCTTGTTTTCTAATAGGTAGGACAAAATCAATTTGAAATATGATGTGATACAGTCGGATAATGGATTTTAGAAGGGTTAGAATCGTAGCGCTTCGAACATTAAAAGTGGCACGGTAGTATTTCCTGACCCATAGGAATAATGCTAGCCTTTTTAGAATTTTCACCACTTTCTAACACTGCCTAAAAACCTACATACATGTACACAGTTAACTGAAGTACTTTCATTATAATATTCAGAAATAAAATTGAAAATGTATGATGACCGATTACTTTTTCTGCTATCTTTATAAACCTAAGGCCACTAGTACTTTTAGGTCTTTTATCATGTAGTGAATACAAATTCTCAAAAATTCTCAAAAATTCATTTCCACCTGTATGTAAAATCATTTCATATTTATTTTTCTACACATGATTCATCCCACAGTTTGGGAAAGTTTGTTCTGTAGATGCTGTATGTTTTGTCCAATCACGTGCACAGTGTTCAGATATATAGACTTAAGTAGGGTACACAAAAGAGCAACCTAAATTCCGGAATGCAAATAGTACCGTGCCACCTTAAACGTCACCAGTTAAACCGCTTTTTAATTACATTGTATGAAGGAAGTCATGTCGACATGTGCACAATTTGTAGTTTAAAAAATTACACCATCAGTGAAATATGAAAATCCTTAACATATATATCAAGGCTGTGTTCGTGATGAATGTTTTAATTTATAACATTATGAATAAATCCCACATTTTTCAAGCTTCCATGCGGACTTGTAGTAGAAATGTATAGTTTTTAAGTAGTTGAATGAATTTTCCGAATGTATATTGTTTTTTTATATACATTCGAGCAGAATGTCAGGTCTCAGAAATAAAGATTGAAATTTAAAGAATTAACTTTTGTTAGACATGATTTATGCATGTACACGTTGTAGTAGTGTTTAGTTTTAATTTGTCAGATTCCTGCATTGTTCTAACGTAATACTTTTAATGCAGACATACATAATATAACTGGGAACCTTAAAGGCAATATGCAATAACCAATCAAAATAATGAATTCAAGAATATTCGCATTAAACCTATATTTGACACTACTTATATGGATTTAAACTCATTTTTCCAAGTTGAAATTTCAAAATGTTCTCTATGGGTTATTCCGTCACCGGATATTACAAAAATGTATTTATGATGTTCGTAAACATAAACAAGATGTATAAAGCGAGAACAGCTCACGAAATAATAATACACCATTCTTTGTCAAGTTAATGATTTGTCAAGGGGATAACTAAAATTAAATTTGGTAAATAATAGCAAAAGAGGTGCAGTGGTTATTTATGGTCACGTGACAATTCTACGACAGTTTCAATTAGTTTTGATTGGGAATTTACAAGGTAAAAGGAGAAGCGGATATAAATGCAAACTGTAGTGTGGGATATGACAAAGTCCATGTAATGCCAAAGTAAAGCCCCAAAAATCATTCGGATGTTTATTTGGAGAGAGAGAGAGATATATAAGAACATCTGTAATGTTCATGTCATCGATGTACATCTTTAACAGACAAGATCAAAATGCAACGTCTACATTATATTATCTAAACCAATTGAATGGCAACCAGATATATGTTCGTGTTGCTCATTCTTTAGTGTTATACATGTACTAAATGTATATTGTGTTTTGTATACTGTTTGTCTTTTGATCGTTTTTCATATTTTGCCATGGCATTGCCTGTTTGTTTTCGACTAATGAGTTTGAATATCCCTTTGGTATCTTTCGCCTCTCTTTTAAATTTTCAGATTGCATATAACTGTAAAAGAAATGTGCTAAAATATCAAACAATAGTATATTACGATGCAAAAGTAATTAAGAAATTAAACAAAACCAATTACATTTCATAAAGTATTATTTTATCTAGAACAATGTATTTCTCGCGGCTGAGAGATTGATCGAAGAACTATAACAAGCCTCCAAGGTTTTTTCCTGTTCAATGTTCGTAAGTTATAAAACCATTTGAATATGTACAAATAGAAGCTGTTATACAATATAGATACATGAAAAGTAAGTCCGTGGGGAACTGCAGTTATCTGATATTTTTCCCAAGATACCAAGATCCGGATAATAAACATTGCTATTCTGGATATTTTCATACGTTAATAACTTTCTATAATTCCCATAAAATGAAGTTGTGTTGATTCGGGAAACATTGTTATTTGATCATAAACCATTCCTAAATTAATATATAGTTCTGCCGAACACAAAACCTATATAAAGTGAGGCCGTTCAATGAACTACAAAAAATGTAGTTTTAGCACAACATAAGGATTTATGTTGAGAAGTCGTGTTATATGTCAGAACAATCACAGATAGGAAATTGCACAATTCAAAAGACAGACGCAATATTAGTCAGGGATAAAATTCTAGATCAAATGTTCTTAGAAAGTTATTCAAGGTCTAGACATATTTTCACATTCTAAAAGTGATTGTTCGGGGACATTTATTGTATGGGGAATTCTCTTGTCACGCTCATTGATAAATGGTTTTATTTCTGTTTAACTTAAGTGGTCGTTTTAACTCGTTAATTGGATTTCTGTAAATAGTACGGCTGAAATTGAAGTAAGTATCAACTTTTTAAAATTTGCAGTTTATCAAACGGGCTGTTTTGTAATAAGAAAAGTGGTTTATTTACAGTTGTACTTCAACTTATCCGTATTTTATATTCATCAGTAGTATTGACGTTTTGTTTTGGAATACAATTAATTGTGTATATTTATATGTATATTTTTTGTGTTATTTCAGATTTAACGGAAAGATGGCGAAACTTTGTAGATTAGTCAAGCTAAACGACAGTTTCAATACACAAGTTTTTACTTTTATGCTACCAAACAAGGTTCTACGAGAATTTTCGCAGGATATTTACGCCAAAGACATGGTTTATGGTCACCACAAATGGACTGTTAGTTTTGTTAAAAGCGAAAAACATATTGGTGCGTACATAAAACTTCAATCAACATCGACGGGGATGGTAAGCAAGCTGGATTTCTCTTTCACAATGCTAAACAACGATCATTTTACAAAGAACGAGTCTTTCATGGAGAAAGAATGTGAATTTACTTATGACGAAAACGTAAAAGGCAGAAAAACATTCGTTCCGCTAGAAGATATGGCGAAACGTGGCTTTATGCAAGGCAACGGGGAATTCTTAGTTGAACTTGAACTGAGAAATATTATATCTTCCTTTGAATGTTACCTCCGAATTCCAAAAGAAAATAACTCACGACATTCTTACGGTCCAAAAATGGAAACACCTTATTTTTCATTTGGTCTCTCTGATTGGAGTGTTTCGTTATTCCCAAACGCTTGCACAGTTGAAACTGAAGACAACATCACAGTGCAGCTAGTGCGACACACAAACTTTGACCATATATGTGATGTTAAGTATCAGTTATCACTTGGAGATCAAAATGCTTATGAATCTGGTCCAGTTGACCAGTTACTAGACGCAACCGGAAACAGCGAACCATTTACAGTTGGAGCATCTCTAATGAAATTGTCGCGCGGACGTTCTTCTTTGAAGGTTAGGATTGAAATGCAAAACGTTGTGTCCATTAGTGAAGTTTCTATAAATGTTCTTAGTAGAAACCGTAATCGAGCACACCTTTATGACAAAGACAAACAAGCATGGATGTTAGAAGCTGATGCCAGTGGCAAATATCTGGCTTTCAAGTTGTATTATACGGATATCAAGCATGTGCCACGAAAAAACAGTCGGTATGTAGCTTTCAATTTGGGAATAGTCCCATATAGCGGGAATCAGTATGTCCGGGCTATCAATGGACCTTTTGTTAAATATTATGTTCAGGATGATCACGATGACGGATACTTGATACATACAGATATTCCGATAGAAGAGGTGAGGTTTCGCTTTAAGAGAAATGTGTAATTCTTTGAATTCTCTTTTTTTTTAATCTTTACGACGTCAACAAAAACTGTAATAAAAATATACTTAATCAATATGTTTTCTCTTTCAGTCCTTTGGCATTTTTTTTAATCAGGAATAATATAAATATAACATTACATTATAATTGCACATTTAAATTCTTATAAGAACACATTGAAATAGGCAAAAATATTAATTTTGATATTGACAAATAAATGTACGCAAAAGTTCAGGAGGAGGATTGAAATTTCAAAACATGTAGTCTAGTTTAACGCTTACAAATACGCACGTGTCTGTCTAAAGCTCTAGTCAGGAATCTCGTTAGGGATTGTCTTATATGTCATATTGTCATATCTTAATAGATTTTTGATAGAAATTGGTGTTCATGACAGATCTTTGATAGTTTCTGTTTGATTAATTCTCAACTTCTTTAAACTCGACGATATTTAAAGCTTTTAATTACATTATAGTATATAAAAATAAGGAGATGTGGTACGATTGCCAATGAGACAACTATCCACCAAAGTACAAATGAAATGGATGTTAGCAATTGTATGCAACCGTACGGCCTTTGCCAATGAGAAAAACCCATACCGTATAGTCGGCTATAAAAGGCCCCGACATGAAAAAATATGAAACAATTCAATAGAGAAAACTAACGGCCTAATTTATAAAGTCTATTATTGTTGCCCTGTATATATCTTTTAGTTATTGATGTCGTTGGGTTGTTGTCCTTTACCCCACATAATTGATAGTCCTACGTTTCGTTGGAAAGCCTTAAAGTTTCTTTCTTTGTATCTTTTCTAAAACAAAAAGGATGAACAATAGTTTAATATATAATTCCATGATGAACTGTTCATGCAATTAAAATTATCATTTTTGATATATTTTAAACGAGTGGTATAATTAGTTGAATTACTGTATCACTAGTCTGTCAACACTGAGGTTGTAAGTTCGAATCCCGCACGGGGCAGGTGCACTCGACTCAAATCTTAACTGACTAGGATTGTTAGTTTTCCTACCGAAGGTCGGTGGTTCTCTCCGGGCACTCCGGCTTCCTCCACTAATAAAAACTGACCGCCACGAAATAGCACAATAGTGTTGAAATTAAACGAAAATTATGTTACTTGTAAAAAATGGTGAGAGTTACATATCTGGATGATCTGTGGGATGATAATCATTTGTTCATATAGCTAAAACAACAGTTATAAATACATAATTATCGCTGAATAAAAGTTAATAGAATAAAGGTGAATATGCAAAGAAAGCACGTAAAAAGTATTGAAAACGTGTTTACACTTCAAATCAAGATTGTCGGAAACCTGTACTCAGAATGGTCTTAAATGATATACTGAACGTATTGCTGTGTGAATTTTTGTTCAATTTATAATTGTCTTCGACTACGTTTTTTTCAACATAGTTTACATGTTTATCATCCTCATGCGTGTGTTTCATAAAAACCTGGAAAATAAAGCAATTGCTGCAATTGCTGTACGCCGCCAAAATGTCACGCGTTTTAACACTATACACAGGTTGCAATTATGCGTATATTTAAGAAACAAAATAAAAAATAATTGATCAGTTTATAAGTTTTTGAATTTCAAAAGTTATAATACAGATTTTGAGATAAAACATTCAGACGTTTTCGACAATTTTTAATATTAAGGGAATTAATTTATATTTTAAGACGATATATGAAAATTCCATACATTTTTACTGCGTCTTATTTCGGAATTTCAAATAACTGTAATACTGGAACTGTATTTTGTTTTTTTGTTATTAGTAATAATAATATATTTATTGTCATATAAACATATTTAGTTTGTGTCAAAAGCAACTCAATATACCAAAGAAATAACAATTCTATAATATGAACACATGGAAAACAATCTATAAAACTTCTGCCCTCAGTAATGGCCGTTTTTTAAAGGAGCCAATTTTTTTTAACATATTTCATGATAGAGGAGGAAGTGTTTTTCATCCTCCAGCAAGTGGCACAGTTTCTTTTCTATTCATTAGGGTACTCTTTGCTCATAAAGCTCTTCAACTGTTTCGGTTATTATACATTATTGGCTTTCAAATTTTCGGGTTTGAGCGTTCCTGATGAAGGCAAATCCAGAAAAGCGCTTCGGACGCATGAAATTTATAAAGACGTCGTGTTGTTGACATTTTTTTCAAGAGATTTTTTATTATAGCGACCTTTTTGTATTTCTTAATTATAGTCACGTATTCTCAACTTAGTGAAGCATTTTTTTTGTAGAAAAGTCATTTGAAGGTAAACTAAACTCGCTTCTCATTAAAAAAAAATCAAATTTGCTTTTCCTAAGTTATGGGACTTTTAACTGTCAAATTTGAGGCAATTTATGAACGCAATATTATGTTCCCCTGCAAGTTTTTCAGCAGGTTTTTTAGTTTCACTTCTGATTTAATGCTTCAATATTGCAATGTTATTCTTGCAGCAATTTTGAATATACCGTTGACGGACGCATCGTTCGCTCAATGTGACGCTGTTTATTTTTTTAATTTCGTATAATTCAACAATCATTTATGATTAGAAATTAAAAGTTAAGAAACCATAGTGACTGTACAAATAAATTTCTGAACCTTGTTCGTCAAAGGGTTTTTCTGCATTTTGAAGGCTGTAGTGAGAGAAGTTTATTTATGAATTTGGTTAATAGCAGCAGTACTTAGTCTAATTGTAACATCTCAAATCAAATAACTTGACTTGAGCTTAAGTTCAATCTTTCGTGGTAATTTGTTCTGAACTTGAATACTGTATGTCGGGTCACTGAAGAAGGCGCTTTCGAGTTTCATTATATCGTCATTATGTAATCAATACCTCGATCCCTGTACATTTACAGCAGCAAAAATAGCAAGCTTTAATTAAGTACGCAAGTCGTGCTTTTTGTCTACTAAGACTCATCGAATCAAACAGACGGAAAGGCCAAATTACTGAGAAAATATTAAATGTTACGAAAGAACATCACATGTTATTGCCACAATGTCAAAATTCGCAGACCTCTCATTATTGTAAAACTGTATAACGCTTTGATTAGCAAGAACTATTTGTCACTGAACCAGTATTCTCCTTTAAGTAATATTTCACCAAGCTTGATAATATTTTTCGATATTACAAATTATTCAACAATGACAACTATCAAGTTAATTAATTTTAAGTAATCGACAAATATAATCAACTGCCCCTTCCACTCCCCCCACTCACATAAAGAAAAATATAGTTTCAGAAACTAGAACTTGTCAGAAATGTATTTCATTTGTGCATTCAGCATGCTTAAAGTTATTAATTCTATACATTTGCTTTAATCCTAGTTTAAAAAAAAAAACACGTACAAAAGGTATGCGTACATTTACTTAGTAAATTTATATTTAACAAGATTTATAACTATAAACTTGTCTAGTACAATTTTCCAAAGTATGCCACGCCGACGTTGATTGAAATAGCGTTACTCTAAGGCATGACAAATCTAGAGATAGATGTGATTAATGAAACGTCTGTTTAAATATATGTCACATTGAAAAACCCAAGTTGTTTAAGCCAATTACATTGTAGACAAATGTCTCTTAAACTGACATTAATCAAGCAAGTCACGATCACGATGCTACAAATAAAACAATCATTTGCATTTATTCCATTAATTACTCTAATTTTTTTTGTCTAGAAAAGCAATTCATCGTTCGATATGGGAAGATTGCTCTTCAAATACCAAAAATCTTGACATATATCGGAACTGTTAACGACATGTTGACATACTTTCAATAATTCTATCATTGCTGAAATAACACAACTGACATTGTGTTCCCGGTATCTTGTTGCATGTTTTTGAAATGCATTTTTTCCTCTTTCTGGAGATATTGTACCTAGGGATGATTTTTAGTTGATGAAATTATGAAGATTAGGCATGCTCGCTAATGAGACAACTATCCACCAGACTCCAATGGACGTATAAGTAAGCGAATATAGGTCACCGCAAATACGGCCTTCAACATTGAACAAAATCCTTACCGTATAGTCAGTATAAAAGGATCCAATTGAAACAATTTTTTGGTTCAAACCTCTTTAAGAACAAGCATGTACTTAACTATGCTTTCCCCTTCAGCTGGTAAGTCTTACAATTTTCCACATCTGATTTTACCTTGATTGTTTTGATGAGTTAAGCAATGCTGAAAGTCACTTTGTTTGTCGTTGGATGTATATGAAAACCATGGTATAATTATTGATTTCACCCAGGATTTATTATTTCCATATTTACTCCGAACGTTCTTTGTGAAGGAAAACTTTGAAGAATACTTAAACAGTGTGCTTGATAACCGGTCATTGACACTGCATACGGATTTTTTGTCCTCACAAATTACATCAGTGTCGATTATACTAAAATGATTCGTTATTTACACAGGATTTAAAAATATGTATGGTTTACAATGTACGTCAATGAGACAGCAACTCAACACACTAACAGAATAAAAAAAAATCATGTAGAGGTCAGCATACGGTCTTCAACAATATACAAATGCCGATAGTTGAATGTACAGGAGATCAGAAAAATGTACAAACATTCTGATAAAAACTTAGCTGATAAATTTTGTCTTTTTATAGAAACGAAGTTTCAATTACATGTATCCTAAAGTAAACGTTTTCAAGTCTTCTAAAAATCCTTGTTTTTTTATAGATTCACGTGCTTTATATATCATAGACTAGTATATTTTTGTCTTTCAGTATTTTTGTAAAGGAAAGAGCACATGCATTTATTGATTTTGACAAATTGATTATTGTTTGCTTAAAGTCCAGTGGCAAACACTTCATGGATATTCGAAACATAAACGGATAAAACATTATCTTTAACTAGTTTGGTTCTGCAAAGTGGTTCCCTCTGAAGAGCCGGAAATGTTGACTGACAATCAATTTGCTTAATGTCCAGCGTCAAATATTTCAAACTAATCACAGAAATTGTACTTGCCATGAGAAACACGACGGGTGCCACTAGTGGTGCAGGTTTTGCTTACCCTTCCGGAGCACCTGTTATAACCCTCTAGTTTTTATTGGGGTTTATGTTGCTCAATCTTTAGTTTTCTATGTACAATTTTGTGGACTTGTCTGTCTTCTTTCATTTTTTAACATTGTGTTGTCAGTTTATTTCGACTGTAGAATTTGAATGTCTCTTTGGTACTTTTTTCTTTTTAAGACAACACGATAAGAAATGTTCATGATATAACATAGAAAGATTAATTTTAAATATTCTGATTTCTTTGATAATAAAAAATTACTACCTGATATAAACCATCTTAAAAAAAAGTAAAATGTAAAACATAAGGTCCAAGTCAGCCCTAGAAGGTTGAGAACCTCTTTGAACATAGCTTCAACGTGCACGCTCTTTTATGAAAATTGTTCATTGCCATTTGTTGTAATTAGAATTGAATTACTTTCAGATAAGCAGTCCAGATAATGATTGGGTGAGCACAGAGGACCAACATATTACCGTACACGTGGAATGGATTGATTCACAACTATTAATTTACCCAACATACCATAGGTTAGATGACGTGGCAAGAGTTCATAAACAACAAATGATGTAAGAAAATTAATGCAGTGTCACTTTTTAAAAACTTTTCCGTTAGTTTTGCAAAAATATGTTAATTTACATGCAATTTACGCATGCATTCCTGGCTTAAAAATGTTTTGTTTGAGCGTTTCCTGTGAAGCTAAATCCAGATAAAAGCTCCAGACGTACAAACTTTATAAAATACACATGACACATATCCAAAACTACTCCCGCGTGTGTTTCTGTCAATGACAAAGAAGTTGTTATCTACGAAAATCATAGTAAAGCTTGTTTCGACGTTACGTTAATTTGGACTGCTGTAATGTGTTTAAATTCTTTTTCGAAAATATCCAGAAAGTTACAAAATGAAGAACAGCAATAAATGTTGTTGAATCGCTTTACTGGTTATTCTTTAGTATTGTATATGATTGTTGTTTATTAACATCTACCAATTATAACTCGTTTTATTAGAACATATAAACTATAGAATCACTCCTAGAAACTTTAAAATATAATGTTCAGTAAAAGAAAATGTTGTTACGGCTAAACTATAAAAACTATTGTAATTAAATAGTATTGTATATCAGAATCATGCACGTATCATTTTTATTTTGTAATCTTGATTTTTATAATTCTGTTGCATTGAAGGTTGTACTAAGTGATGAGAATGAGTAATACTTTCTATCTAGTACAGTACTGTCTTATCAGGCCAGATAATTAGCATGCTTTTTACATTAGGTTCCATTCGATATCACTGGAGTTATCTCTCTTGAGATAAGTTTTATAATGTATAATGTATTATTAATTTCAATATACTAAAAGTACTTTAACATCCTTAATACGATATAAATGTATTCATTTGACGACTTTCAATTCAGAACTCACACTTAGCATTATGCTTAAATGAATTATCCCTTAATTAAAAAATATTTTGAAATGATAAATAATTCAATCAAGATTGAGTGATTGGGTTTTGCTACCTTTATATCCATCTAGAAAAACCGACCTAGTTAGTCTGCTAGTAATTAAGGGTACACTTCCTTTTGGTAAAGTTGATTTCAAACAGTTTCAAATCTTGTTTTCTGAAGGTGGTCATTCACGTTTTATTTGAATTTTGATTTCGTTACTTTGGTCCTTTTATTCCTCTCTCACGTGAAAATCGAAAATCTTAATAGTCTCTCGAAGCAGTGTAGTTCTAACATAATGCAATAAATGTTAGACTAAAATCTTTGATAGGCTATAAATTGTTTAGCAACCCGTTTTAGATCTTTTGTGCAATTGTATAATATTATATATCATTTTATATTTTAGAAGAGAGATACTCGCTTTACAATCAGAAAATTATGCCTTAGAGAAACAACTCTATAGTTATCAACAATCAATTGCAAAGACAAATTCTAAACCACGTTCTCTTAGTGAAGATAGAGGAAATTCATACAGACGACAGTGAACAAAAGACGACAGAAGACTATAAAATTACGGACAATGGAATGATGTCTTTGCTTCCATTTTTATTTTATTTTTATCTATGTTCAATTAAATGATTATCTCAAATTTTACAATCCAATAAAAGAACCGGTTGCGGTGATAGAAAATTATTATATTATTGTGTCGTTGAAAATCTGTTTTCAATATTATAGAAAAGAATTATTTTACAAACGCTATGGTATGCTTTGGTGAGGAAAATATGGGTAACACACAATGTGTTAACAGCCGCCGCTCTAATTCGTTCATTTTTCGTACCATGATTTCTGGATATGACATGTGGAATACATGTAGCACCTGCCAACAAAATTAATTATGTCAGACACGAAAATAACAAAATATTTTTTTTTAGATTGATTGGTGACTGTTTTATATTCAGAGGCAAAAATAACTGGACGATAACATTTAAATCAGATCTAAACATGCCTTACCTTTAACTAGATCTTCATGTTGATTAGGAATTTTTCCGTGCAAACTTACAAGTATATACGAAAAGTATCACAGGAAGACGCCAACAGCTGGAGACTATTATTTTGATTTCGAGCTGAGCAGTCTATTATCTTACTAATAGTGGAGTGACAAATCGAAAAAGTCGCTTATTTAAAGATTTTAATGGACCGAAATACCTCACGGCTGAAAATTCACATAAAGATAGAGTAAACATTATACTTTCATTTTAGGCCTGTCGTAGAGTTTTCCCACGGTGCAGTTTTTTGTAAAATCGCGTTAAAGTGTGATTTTCGGATTTTTTTCTTTTTCATTTTCAAACACGGGAACGCTTATAATAAATTCACGAATGAAACCCTTTTTCGTTGTCGTACAGTTTGCCAGTTACATATGTTTACAGATATTGCATTTTGCGAAAAAAAAATTGTGAAAAGCTATTTACGATCTTTCGAAATTTCAAATTATTTCTATCTTTATAATGTATTCCAACCTCTCTGATAAATATTTTGTCTGATTAGTAGATGACAATTATTTTCAAATGGATAATGATTACAATGCACTCTCATTTGATACTGAACGGAAATGCATACTTTAGCTGAGTGTGTGATATTCCTTTATGGAAAACCAGTACACCCCTGATCAGATAGATGGTATTGGTATTGTCCGAAGTATTTATGTAAAATGGTACAACAGTTATTGAGATTTGGCAATGACTGCTTTTAAACCATAATCAAAAAAATATGTGGTATGATTGCCAATTAGACAAATCTCCAAAAAGACCAAAAATTACACATTATTATCCGTAGATAAAGATATTTGTTTCATTTTCTTACATGTTGCAAGCGAGGGTATGTATCACTAATCTGTGGTAATCAGACATAAATATGACTAGCTGTATTTGTGTAGCATACCTAGCGCATGCTTCCATCGAAAAAATTTCTCAGTTAACATGAGAGACTACCGAGAAATTGTCCAAAATGTCTAAAATTTGCGATTTTTAAAAATTCCCCCCTTTTGACCTTTGACCGCAGTTTTCAAAAATCTGCACTATTTTGGCACTCTACGACACGCCTTAATCAAAGGATATTATATTTATCTACAAAATAAGACCAAAATTAGCCGTGAGGTATTTCGGTCCATTAAATTTTCAAATTTACCTTATTTGTCACCGCACTATAATACATTCCGCGTGTGTGACGGTTTTTGGTTTGAACGTGCTGTCAATCGCACCCACTACTTTCCACAATTGAGTCAACCACTTTACGATGGTATCACCGTGTCGATTAAAAATAGAAAGAAAGTTAATGTTAACGCTTGGTCTTTAATACAAAACAGGCACGGGTAAATAAAAAGTAATGATAATCAAAGAGCAACCTCTCTTTTGAAAAAATAAAATTAACACACAAAGACACTGACAACTTGACCTTAGTTTTCCGCCTTTTGATAACTATTTGGCATGTCAAATCATGGTTAAAAGTACCCCTTTTATATTTGAATATGCTGAAATAGGAAAACCGTAAACAGACAAAAAAATCACACAACATGAATTAACCAATATTAGAACTGTAATAAGGACAATGTATCCTCTTAAATTGCCAAGGGTTACGATCTAGCACCCTCCTCTACGCCCTTGGCTGATTAAGAAAGACTTGTGGTAGTGCCAAATAGTGACAGATTGAAGTCACACGAACTCCAACTACATCAGTCTTGACCAATGACAGCTCTCATTTTTAGGTCGGAGGCATAAAAATTACTGTGTCTAGTGTTTACACATTTTATGAAGCATGTTTTATACGTTATTTGTATACTGTACTTAATATTCTTTATAATGTTCTTACCTTAATTTATGAAATGCGACGATCACAAAACAAACTTAACTGACACACAAACGAAATGATTTCGTGCGCACAACACATGTTATGGATTTAGGCAAAAGCGCAGTGGTGAAAGAGCACAACATAAGAAGAAACTTTCAAAATCAGTTGATAAGGGCTAACTTTTTTTCAAATCGACACAAAACACAAAAACAACTTACAAAATGTTCAAATCTCAAACTTCGACACAAATCAAGATAAAAGAAAAACAAAACATGAGGAACGCATGAATCTGTAACAGAAGGAGCGATACAGGATGCGTCGACAATGTAAGCGTATAAAGTCAGACACGCAAGGATCACCAGCCATGCAAGTTCACATGTACACAATCTAGAAATTTACCGATCAAACCACTATTCGGGTATCTAAAGATTTTAGACCGCAAAACATGCTGCTAGTGAATTGTAACACCAAAACACAAATTCGTAAAAGTGACCGTTAAACATATGAAGTTGTAATTACAGTCGTTTTTCTTGATTACTCTGTTTGAGTAGTTTTTGTGTAAGGAATTCGTCACTGCTAATGAATTTTGTATAATGTCAATTTTCAAGAGAGTAATGTTTTAATTTAATTAGATAAACGCAAAACGATGGGACAGATGGTTTGTTACTGTAATAAGTTCAAATCGTCAATTGGAATGAAATACCTTTCACCAGACATAATAATACACGTAATATAAAAATCAGAAAACTTAATGTGATTGCCAATAAGACAACTTTTCACTAAATAAAAAATGACGTAGAAGTTAACAACTATAGGTAATCGTACGGCCTTCAACAATGCGCAAATCCCATACCACAAAGCAAGCAAAGTCTCAAAATGACAAAATAATGTAATTCATTCGAATGAGAAAACTAATGGCTTGATTTTTGAACAATATGAATAATACGAAAAACAAATATGATGTACATCAACTAACGAAAAACATTGAATTACATGCTCCTGACATAAGACATGCACATAAAAAATGTGACGGGGTTAAACTTGTTTACAGGGGCCTACCCCATCCCCCCTCTAATCTGCTGCAGTGGCGTAAGAACACAACAAAAGATCAAACTATTAAAATCAGTTGGTAAGGGCCAGTATTTTTTCAGACCAAAACAAAACACAAGCCAACTTACAAAAATACTAAAGATACAAACTACATATCTGAGAGTACTCCCAGATACTGAAAACTAGTACAAAACCAATAACAACTTGTACAAAGTTAATAATAGGGTCTTTGCATCGGAAATTAACACATTTATTCTAAAACCAGTTGTTAGCATGATACGGGTTATGTTCTTATATCTGATATCTTGTGATGGTATGACATGTATGATACGGATGTTTCGGAGTTTAGTGTGATGTCCTTTTTCGCTGAACTAGTATACATTATTGTTTAGGGGCCAGCTGAAGCCCGCCTCCAAGTGAGGAATTTTCTCGCTGTGTTGAAGACCCATAGGTGGCCTTCGGCTGTTTTCTGCTCTTTAGTCGGGTGATTGTCTCTTTGACGTATTCCACGTTTCTATTCTCAATTTTATCTAGAAATACGGCGATGCGATTTTCGACAAAAAATCTTAAGCAACGATAAAAAATAGAACATATAACGGAACGATCAATAATTTGTAGAAACACATTACCAGTGGCATAAAAGATAAAATTAGAGGAAGTCATTTGTACCATTGTAATTATAATGCATATATAATTTCAAAATCACTTTATGATGAATAAGTATTAACATATGCATTGAAAAGTCTATCATGTTTATCATTGCTATCCACATGTGCATACATTCGGAGAATGTAGTCAATTGTGAAACATTGGATCATTTATTAACATCAGACAGAAGTTTCCGAACTCCATACCTTCAAACGTCTGTGATCATAGATTGACATTGATTGTGAAATTATTTAACTTTTTCCCTTGCCAAGTATAAACCTAACAATGTTTACCTGACCTGTTACATGAGACATACATTATAAATTGCAGATGATATCATCAAATGAAGAAAGGATATTTAAACATATGATGAAACAATTCATTGTTTGTTTTATTTAAATTGATTGATTGATGGATTTTTGGTTGCTAAACGTCTAGTACATGTAGCATGTTTTATTTTATAAAAAATTTTTGCTTATAGTGCTTCTATAAAATATCTTACATTCAAAAAATTTACAAAAAGACAAACTCTTACTCAGTTTTACCCAATATATTAAACAGTTGAAATTAATATTTACAACCAACGAGATAAACAATACGTATACAATAACTGAATAATTTGCGCATTCACGTAATGCTAATTTAATTCTTAGTATTCTCTAGTGGGAAAAATATAAAAAAGGAATAGAAGCACGAAAAACTCCGGCGAAATCCGTTTGCGCCAAAAAAAAAAAATCATCCGTTTGCAAAGCAACTCATTTGCCAATTCTACCTTTGCGCCATTATTTTTCAAAATGCCTTGTATCATTTGCGCCAAAAAAAAAGAAAACGTTTGCACCAATTCATTTTAATAATTAAAACCGCGAACGACTTCACTCCTTCTATTCACAGTGAGACAATACAATTATACTAAAAGCTAAAATTTGCAATTCAAGTCAAAAACGAGATCCCTTCGACTGAGTTCTCCTCTTGTATAATTCCGGTTGTTTTCAACGACATGAAATCTTTCTTTTTTTGAGTTATACCGGCTATTAACTGCTGTAAGGATGTACTTAGGTGAAATTAAAAAAAAACTAGAATTTAAAATTGATACTATAAGTCAGAAGCGCATTAGATAAGGAACAAAATAAGCTTAAAATATTGATAGGTTATGGAGCTCCTTTTCGAGATATTTTATTCTTTTAAAAATAGCGGGAAAAGGCTGACTCGGACTTTTACCTTACATTTGCATTGGTATTACTTGGGTCTCAAATTGAAAGAAAATAAATCTAGAATCTGCATAAATTTTGGTAAATGACCTTTTATGAGCTATTGAAGTCTTACATGAAAAGAAAAAATGGGTGTTATGAGCAAAATATTTTACCCTGTGTCGTTGGAAAAAAACAAAGGAGTCCAAACATTTGACAAAAAATTCCTAAACCTCACCTGAGTAAGTAAAAACTATACATTTGATGATATTGTCCAAAATGCAAACATGTATGTAGTATGACATATAATAGTTGGGTGGAATTAAACATGTTAAAAATAGTCGTGATTTATGGGGTGCCAAAAGATCGTATGTAATATTCTATCCCGTATAAAATCAATTATACTGATTATCAATAATGCAGTGACATTCATAATTTGCATCATACTTCTAAATGTAAATACATACATGAGTTGATAAGTCGTATCAAATAGCATATCATCATGATCAATTAAGCATATTATAAAATAGTCTAATGTATCTTACTTCACAAACGAGTGTCATTCATAAAATCTTTACTTTACAAAAGAGAGGCGAAAGATACCAGAGGAACATTCAAACTCATAAGTCTAAAATAAACTGACAACGCCATGGCTAAAAAAGAAAACGACAAACAACATTACATATAACACAACATAGAAAACTTAAAGACTGAGCAACACGAACCTATGATGAAAGTACAAAGGTTACTAATTATTAACTCTAGTATTCTATGAAGTTTTTATGCACTTCTGTAATATTTAATGTCTATGATTGATCTCAAATAAACAGATGCATCATAATATTATAATTTGACCCTAACCAATCTGTAAAACCAGGTTATAATATCTTACATCTACAGTACAACTGTACAATAAAGCTTTTACTTTGTTATCATTTTGCAACAATAGTCCCATTTATTACATAAATTATCATGTTTAAGATACCATAATTTATTAAGGAATTACACGTACGATAAGATATTAGTTCAGTTGAATTCGCGCAAATGAATTCCGTAAATTGGCGCAATAGATACCTTAAAAAATAATATTCGGCGCAAATGATACATCATGAAAATAGCAACTGGCGCAAAAGGTCACGTAAAATAACACGATTTCGTGCATACTATACTTTTGAACATTAATATAAAACAACTTTGTCGGCTGAAGCAATTTATCCCTTCAGGTAGATAGGAACTGAAAACTAACAACTGACATCTGACTTACACTCCACGGAGCCGCAATATTGCATTTGTTTTTGTTTCATAAGTAGGTATAATATGTTTTTAAATTTGTGTATATAAAATTTAATAGAAGTCAGATTGGAGTATTATGATTATAAATAAGAACTAAGGACAAGACGTTAAGTGCCTTCAACTTATTAACTTGTTCTTAAACAAACACTTGATAAATATTATATAATGATTGACTTATTTATAAATGATTTTTTTATTATCTAGAATTTTGAAAAAGGGGTTAAATTTTGTCAAATATGTTAAATATAAAGGGGATTACGAATCTGCTATTTTCTGCAAATCGACCCAAGTTTACCCTATGCTGATAATTAGGAAGAAAACAGGAATGAATAGTGTTTTCTTCTGTTAGTATTTTGGGTTTTTCTCATTGAAAAGGGTGAGAGGGGGGTTCCTGAAAATATTTGTCCGATTAAAGTCGTTGAATATGATGTTAAATTCGCCAAGAAATGATTTTACTCCAAATGATTTTATAATATTGTTAAATGGTGTTTTGCCTAGTTCTCGAAATAAATACGGGGAGCTATACCTTTTTATAAACATGATAAAATGAAGAGTGTTTATTCATTTTGCTTTGGAGCGTAGACGAACTTGTTTAAACGAAACAATATGCCAAATGGACAAAAAGTGATTCAAATAACAACATGATAGAAAGAAAAGAAGACGAAACAAACAATCAACAGTCAACAAAACATCACTCAGTTAACTACACGGAAGCCATGATAGGATACGTAAGCTAAAGAGACAATTAAAACTGTTTGGTTACCGTAGATATATTTCATATCCAGGTGCTCGTCGCCTTTAAACCAATATATCCAATCATGACAATAAGATTATTCTGTTTTTTGTCGTCCACATGGACCATGTCCTCTTTCCCTACGTAATCTTGATGAGTTTTCGTGACTTCTCCCATCTTCGAACACAGGAGTAACTTTTTTCATAGGGTACATTTGTCGGTGTGTATGTTGTGCACCATTACTATTAGTTTGGTTGATTTGAATATTCCCTGTATTATTTATAGTAGTTTTATCATTATTGCCTGAGCCAGTTTTCATCTGGTCTATAAGTGCTTTTAATTGTTTTTCAACCACGGATTCAAATTTGCTTTGCATTTCAGCATCTCGTTTTTCATTTTTACTTTGCATTTCAGCATCTCGTTTTTCTATTTTACTTTGCATTTCAGCATCTCGTTTTTCTAATTTGGTTTCCAGATTTTGTATTTGTTCTTGAACAGATTTTTCGTCCGACTCTTTTTTTATTCTCAGTTGTTGTAGCTCGTTTTCTACTTTAAATAACTCGGATTTCAGCCTCTCAATTTCTGATTTCTGTTCAATGGTGGTTTCCTTTGTTTGCTGAATTTGAGTTTCTAGTTCAGAAATCTTTTCGGACAGTTCATCTTCTCTATTCCTAAGTTTCTGTATTTCTCTGTCTTTTTTCGTGTTTGCGTTATCCAACTGTTTAATTTTGTCTGCTTGATCCTGAGTCTTAATTTTTAAACTGTCATTTTCATCTTCCAGCAATTTAATTTTTTCCCCGCTTTTCTCCAGGATTTGATTTTTCTCATCTTGGTGACTCTTTTCGTCTACATTTATTTTCATTTCCAAAACTTCAAGTTGTCGCATCGAAACTCTATCTAGATCAACCTCGTTGTCATATTCAAAATTCAACTGATTCTTGTTGAATACATTGCAAGACCTACCTTTTCTTTGCTTTTGAAACGGAAAGGTTAGTGAGAAATTTTTCTTGTCATCCATAGTCTTTGCTGAAATTAAAATAAAACGCTTGGATTATAACATACTGTTACGAATACATTGTAGGAATACTATATGGCTAATTAGACTTGATGAGGAAGATGAATCCAGTTTTAAATCGACAAAATGCTCTTACATCTGACGTTTTCTCTGAGGTTACAAAGCAATTTGTACAAAGTCAGTTTTACTTTAAATGACAAGCCCACAGCAGCCACAAAAACGATTTGATTTTGTATCTGTTGTCAAAACTATTACTTTGTCATAATCATTGTTCAATCATCATCGCCCAAATCTTTGTCCAATAGGACAGCTGATTGGATAAAAGTAAGAGAGTGCTACGCCTGCATAAAAGAGATGTACTAAAAATTGCCGTCAGAAAGCTGTCAATAAGAAAACAAAATTACTTCAACAGGGACAAATTAAAAAAAAAATTTGGTATTAGTACAAGTATTTGATATTTAAAATAGTATAATCATTATTAATATCTCTAATTGTTTCAGTAATACAAGTGTTTATTTTCGTTGAACATGAAATTGTAAATATAGAGCTGGATCAGTCTATGGAAAGTGCGAATCGAGAAATCCGTTTCTTATGTGGAGTAGCGATATTTTCTTTTGTAAATGAGATGCATTATGGGGAATTTTCAGACGAATGTTAACATTTGGTGGAATAATACAACATTCATCAGAAAGTGCTTGTTTATTCTTTTTAAAACATAGACGTATTATACAGGACAAACGTATATACAACTTGCCATGTATTTTGAATATTTAATCCCATGTATGTTGTATTTATACGAGTAAATATGCATTTGCATTACTATAATTTTGAGGTGTTCAAATACTTTGACAATGATGTACCAAAGACAGTGGAATGGTCATTGAGCTTATTCGATTGCATGATACGCCAAAATCGCTTGTAATAGGACAATCATCCTATTTTTTCTTAAGTTTATGCGACGTTTTTTTAATAAAATAGCGATATGTTTTTATTATGAAAAAATATTTACACTGCGATATTTTTCTAATAGAAATGCGATACTTTTTTTTGAAAAAAGTACGATAATATGGCACAATACTTTAAAACAAAGTAGAAACATTGACAATTATTCTTGACAGGTTCCATGGTATAGGTAAAATATCACTGAAATTTCGTATAGATGATTTACGTACATAATAAACAAATTATACGCTTATAAAGAAGTAGACACGATGTTCAATATCCCCTGCGCGTCGATCAATTTTGTGTTTACAAATCAATATTGCACAGTTTTAACCACCTTTCAACTTCCGCTGAATAAATAAAATATCTGTCATGTCTATATGTAATTTTTTTTTAAATAGTTAAAGGCAGTTGTTGAAATTAAAAGGAAAATACTTTATCATGCATTTATTATGCAAAACATTCAAAGTCAATGGAACATGACTGAAGTTGCAGAGCCTAATAATCTCCCTGGAAATGATAATGAATATGATAATGCTTTTAAAACTGCAGACAAAATATCGTTGACCTACTGTCAATGGTTCTCCTTAATTTGACATAATCAAAAACACTAACAGTTAAAAAGTAAAATAACAAAAATACCAACCTTATCAAATGACAAAATCATGAGCTTATACACATCAAACGAATGGAAACAACTGTCATATTCCTGACTTTATAAGCGATGCAAAACTTTCGCAGTCAATGAACTATCGAGGCCTCATGCATTGTGTTCCTATGGAAATGTAATAGATGTTATATCGATGCAACCAATTTGAACAAATAATCGGGCCGGTCTATACAACTTCACTTGATTTTATCCTTCACGTTTAAAAAAGTATAACAACATTATCGAACTCCTAGGCAAATGCAAAAGGGGGAAGTCCATAAAAACTAACAAAATCAAACGGTATCAATCAACGGAACAAGTAAAAAACATCTGCCATATAACTTTTATCTAATACAAATATTCTTGAAGAACAATTAAGGATTTCGATAGATGTCTCAAAAGTTCATTTTGACAGTAAGCAATAGGCGGCTAAGACTTGCTCCTTCATATAACATAAAACGTAAAGTTACAATAAAAACATATCGCAACTACATTAAAAAAAATATCGCATCTACAATAAAATAAATAGCATTTAATTATTTATTTACAAAAGAAAAACGTAGCAGTACAATTTTAACATAGATTTACACTTTTGCTTTTACTTTGATATTGAGCATATTTCAAGACTTTTCGTTTATATTTAAATGATAGGTTAAAAGTTTATATGTTCATAAAGAAATGTTACCTTGTTGCTCGTTTAACTGGTCTATTTGACTTTTTTTCATTTAAAACTACATCGAAAGGCTTACAATAATCGATTTCACACACTATTGAATAATGGTAATACGTAAAAGTCTTCCTTGTGTCGCGTGAATTAATTTCAGTCCGAACGTATTTATATGGTTTAATATTAAACAAAAATATTGCAAAAAATATTTGTTTTCCTCATGAAGTGTCTGCAAATTTACAATTAGAATTAGAATGATTCCATACACTGACGTTTTATTCATGGGATCGACATTATTTCAAGTTTTGGTACAGCTCTGAAAGAAAATTCAGATTATGAGTTTCCACCTACCATGTGTGAAAAAACAACGTTATTTAATAATATTTGCAAATTGGTACAATATTAGGTTCTTTTTTATATTAAAAAGTTATTCTCATCATTTTAGCAATTCATTATGTGAGGTAAGGTAGCGATGTCCAAAGTTCAATTTAAATGGTACATTTTGTAAAAAATTAAATTCCCTTTTCAAGATAAAAACAATATCGTTGATCCTTTATTGAACAAATCACCAACCGAGGAGATTGATCTGTTAGTTAGTGCCGTAAGAGTGTCTACGGTTTTGAATAGACATGTTTAACTCCTGTAAGAGTAATTGCGGCAAAGAATTATTTCATGCTAGGTCATTCGGTATTGTCGGATAAATCACCTACATTGGTTTAGAGTCTAGATGTTTACGATGCAACTTTTGTTAGAGAAAAATTCTGGCAATACTAAATCAGCAGAAAGTCTAATCAAAACTCAATAAGGTTTTAAATACATATAATTAAGAAATTATTTTGTATACATTGTCAATATGTACTTACGAACATAAAATATCATTTCTTAAATTTAAAACATTAAAAAAAATTCTTCTATATACATTTATACATTTTTTGTGTATTGCATTTGTAGTTGATTATGGGATCATCTTAAAGATTCAAACCAGTATTTGATAACAGCAAGTTAATTAAATGCTTAGTATTTCTTAGAAAAACTCAAAAAAACTCAGATTTTCCAAGTAATTCACACTGGGATGGGGATTACTCATAAAATTCAGGTTTTGTCAGCAACGATTTTGATTTGAAGTTAAATAATTATTATTTAAAGATATAAAGATAAAGTGCATTACTAATTTTTCTTGTCTTGATCAAACACACTTATGAATAACTACAGAATCGTATTATAAAAACTTTTTGATTAAACCTTTTTGTAAATTAAAAAAAGCTAATATATTAAAAATCCTCAAATGGATGACAAATATATTTATTATAATAAAGTGACATAGATATTGTATGAACTCTAAATAAACGAATCTACACAATATATTGTTTTCGTTGTATCATACCTTAGCCTTTTTCTATCTTCTCATAAACGTATTTTTTTACGTTTTTACAAGAACGGTGTTCCAAGTCTTTGTACTACCTGTAAAAACATCAATAATTTTAAAGAATAATACGTGAATACGTGTTGTTCTAATTGCTATGTTTAAAGACAAAATATATTGAAGAGAAAGATTGTCGTATCAACTGCAAACTTCGGGAAAATGAAAATATTTCAACAGCTTCTTATACAGCAAATGCATAAATACCATTTTTATTCCAGCTGTCAGGTGTATACTTAATGCAACTGAAATTTCATACAGGTACACACGGAATTCCTTGAATAATGTGGACAAGTTTTTTCTTTTAAAATTTATGTGTTTTTTTGGGTTGGTATTTTTGTTATTGTTCTTAAAAAAGAGGGACGAAAGATACCAGAGGGACAGTCAAACTCATCGAAAACAAACTGACAATGCCATGGCCAAAAATTAAAAGACAAACAAATAAATAATAGTACAGATGACACAACATAACTAAAGACTAAGCAACACGAACCCCACCAAAAACTGGGGGTGATCTCAGGTGCTCCGGAAGGTTAAGCAGATTCTGCTCCACATGTGGCACCCGTCGTGTTGCCTATGTTATTACAAATCCGGTAAATAGTCTAATTCGGTAAGTCACATTCGTGAAAAGGGAAGGGTATTGTAGTTACGAAATAAGGAACATATCCGATATCATCTGTGAAACGGTTATTACATAACGGTCAACCAACTCGTGATGGCGTCCGTAAAATTTACGAAGGGATGATTTCAACTTTACCATTTTTAACTCTTGGTTCAATAGCTTCCTTGTGAGCAGCAATCCTCTCTCAAGGAAATCATGATAGGAAATACAACCCCGGGAATATGGTATCAATTGGGAGATATATACTCCGTATGCAGGCGCTGCTGGAATGTTGCTACATAGAAATGGAAAGTTAACAATTGGGAAGCTGAAATCATCTCTTTTGTCGTAAAGTTTTGTTTTCAACCGACCCTCATTGTCTTCTAGATTTAAGTCAAGATACGAGGCAGACTTAACTTCATCTGTAGTATCCTTTATTCCTAGTTCGACGGGATAGATTCGTTCAACAAAGTCACCAAATTTCAAGATCACTTTGTATGAAATAACATGCCTGGTTTTATTATTATTTTCCATTGTATATTTAATGCAAATCTAAAGGACCTGGACATTGTATTATAATTCCAAAATCTCATCTTAAATTCAATCTTTAGTAAACAAAACTGCAAGATACATGAGCTGGTATTATCAGCTCCTTTGCTGATATGTAATATTATTGATAAGTCATTTTTGTATATTTACAGTTACTGTACAAAACGTTTAAAAACTATTCGAAATACTATAAAAGTAATTCGAAACATATCTAAAAATAGTACCATTTCAAAACAAAATGTTACCTTCAAATCATGAAATATATATATATATATTGAACTTAACTTAATACGCAGTCAAAGCTAAAAAATATGTGATTCATTTTGAATGAATAATTGGCATGTAAATGATATTTTACGGGATTTCAAAAAGGGTATCAATAATTAAAATTTGTTGTTGTATTTTTGTTTCTCGAAAAATAAATGAATAACCTTACGTAATCAAGCTTACATTCAATTTGGATGGGTATATATTGAGATGCAAAATTTTAAAAAAGTTTGTAATAAGCATCACTGTATTAATTTATCTTCAATAACCGAGCAACGCGCAGAAGTTTTCAATTTTATGGAATATGTCAAGTTGTTAGTTAAAGTTTTATCATTAATACGTTATTTACATTGTCATAAAGAATGTTAGTGAAAATGCTATGCCTATTTTTTGAAAGTTTTCAGAAAATGAAATTTGTTATACACCAAAAGTATTTCTAATTTAGCTTTATTTAATCATCTTACATACCTTTTGCTCGAATCCGTAACATTTCAGTAAACAAAACAAACAGGAAGTCTTTTTTATTCAACTCAATACGATATATATTCTGGGTGTAAGGTTACGATTTCACAAACAGAATGTGATTTGAATGACGTGAATATTGTCAACTTATCGGTTAATTCAAATAGATCTAGTTCACATATCATTGTAAATGATTATAAATATATTTAAAATATATCAACGCGTAGCTTAATGTATGTGCATATTTGAATGTCTGTTTGAAAATATGATTAAAACAAACATGTATTTTTCAACTACATGTCTAATCACAATGATTTATCAGACTTTCTTAATCTTGTTTTTTTTAATTTCCCCCCTAAATAAGCAAAATGCAGGTTATCAATATATATGTTTCGAAAAAAGAGTTTTAGTATTGTAGTCATTTTGCATATAAAACGACATTTCCTTCTTCTGATTTCTTTTAAAACTTTTATATTTATATATTACATTTATATTAAATATAACTGAAAGCGATGTGGCATACTTTAATGAGACAACAAAACAAAAAAGTGAAATCCAGGAAAACGTGTTGTATGATAAACAATGTAATAGAAAAACAAAAAGATATGGGGTATCCATCCATGACACAAAATCAAAACATGCACAGCAAAAAACACACAAAAAGCAAAGGAACAGCGCTTTTATATCTGTTCTTCATCTTAAAGTTACAGTGAGGCCTTCAACACGGAAAAAAAAAAAAAAAAAAAAACTCTCACCTCACTGCAAGTTTAAAACGACCCCTAGCACCGGCTTGAGCGAAATTCTTTGCAAAAAAAATTGGGATAGACTTTGTAAGACGTCACACCACCGAATTGGGCCCGGTCGAAAAAGAACATACTGGAAAATATTACATGTTTAAAACAAAATAGTTCCTACGCATAGGTGTAAATATAAAACTATGTAGAATATATTTCAGTAATTAAGGTATCAGATAAACTAAGATTTTCATTGGTTAAATCTTCATAACTATTTTATTTGTTGGCGAAACGCGAATAATCGTCCTCAATCAATGAAAAACTAGTATCTACACTCAATCATTGATATATTAATATATATATATACATGTTTACCCCTTGAAGGAGAACAATTTAATTCGTATACCTATTTTTTTCAATGAATCAAACAATACCATTTCAACATTCCAGGAATCGCGCATTTGAATCCATATCAATGCGCTAAATGGTTGCTAAATACTACATTGAAAAAAAAATTGACAACATTTGAGCATTCATATAGAACATGAAGAAAGATAATCGTAGCAATTCAGATAAAAGGTTATGAGTTATTTTAAATACAAATGAACTCATCTTATTTATGTATATTTTGATTTCAAATTTAGAAAATAAAGAAACCTATCTAGAAATCTGCAATAGTGTAACAATATGTCTTTAACATCAAATCACAGTGCTAAATAACTTTCGATTTTATTTCAAACTCGTGACAACTTCTTCCAACGATGACGAAAAACGCAATTTGTTAAAAGTAGAATGGTCTTATAACGGTTTGGGTTCCATCAATATAAGCATAACAAAAAATTGCAGCAAAGCAAATACGTGATTGCTGCAAAGATAAAACTACGCCTGCACTTCATTTACCTACTTCAAAACAATTGCATCTAAAACTGTCTACCACAAAAGGTTATTAGAAACCTTTACCCTCAAGGATGTAAAATCCAAACCTCCCGATTGGATCGTCCTTGGAAAATATTGTTTTTATATACAAAAAACATTGTTTGGAATGCGTTACTAAAGAACTTGGAACTCACAGCAAAATTGGGAATCCTTCACGAAAGAGGATATTTTAGAAAATCACAATTCCATTCTTTGGTGTTCACATAAAGAAGGACGATGAATATATCCATTTTTTTTAACCAACTGCAGATATTTTATTGGAATTATAAGTGTTATCAATGCCCCTAAGTGCTACAACAATGATACTTAGGTTTCTTGTATTGTATATTTCTTATAAAACCAGGCGATTTCATTAGCAATCTTCTTAAATTTATATATTATGTGTTACTGGTAATTTACAGAAATATCGAATTGTAATACTGGATACCTTACCTCATTATAAAGAACAGTATATAGCCGGATGGTCAATATGTTCATATAAGCATCTTAATAAAGTTCTTAACCCACTCTTTCTACAGTGAAAATATGGTCTTAAGAACCCTTTAATTTATCTAAGCTTTACACTTCTATTTTCCATGCTCAATTGAAAGATCGTCTTTATCGTCTCTTTAAACAGAGTTGTTTCTACAAAATGAGAAACGTAAATACACATTTCTTGTGTTAGGCTATGTTAAATCTTCGTGAAGAACATCACTGATATCTTATATACACTTAAAATGTTATCATCAAAGTTCTACACTTTTTGATGGACAACCAATTTGTTGAGTTTGGTGGATTGATCATGTTGAAATTTCAGCAGACGTTCGGATTTGTGATAGGTTTTGATTGTGCAAAACTTCTGGTCGATTTGGTTTGTACTCATAAGAAGCACAGTTCACATGGTTCTTACAGAACCTTTTTAAAGTCAAAATGAATGAATGTCTTGCAAAAGTCTTTAATTTCACTTTCAGATATACTGGTGATGTCCATATTTTTTTATAATCAACATTTCAATGAGTCCTTACATTTCATATATCCCGGTGAACTCAATATCACGGATACTACCGAAAGTAGAAAATCTGATTTATATCTTAATATTTTCTTCGATATTGACACAAATGGAAAAAATCAAACTAGAATATATGACAAGCGTGATTTCAATTTTTCATTTGTTAACTTCCCATTTATCATGTTTACCGACAGTTCCAAACCCTCCGTCGTATGGCGTTTACATATCTTAGTGACGCTCGTGTATGTTCGTACTATACACACAAAATATAATATATAATATCAATTATACAAATATATACAATTAATAATTTTATAATTATTTATTTAATAAACATCCACTGAATAAAGATAATTACAAAGTTACACTAGATCTAACAATAGTTACATTACAACGTAAAAAAACCCACATTTTTGAAAGACGTGATGATTAGATGTCTCTGGTCATTCAGCTCTCGTTTGTAGCCCACCACTTTAAAGGATATATCTCGTGACTCTGTTATCATTTCAAAACGAAAAATTTCAGACGCATTTTAAACGAAAATTTAGCACAAACCCACAAAACAAAATTCAACTGATTAATCAGTGATTACTATTTAGTTATCCGATATGCGTTCACAAGAAAATAACTCTTATAAACAAAGGGAAAATGACCTAGCAGGAAACCCATTAGTTGAGTATTATTTCAATATTCGATACTCAGTACTACCGAGCGATATCCAAGTATTCGACTTTTCGCTGACATCCTTCGTTTTAATGTTTATTAAAACAAATAAAGACTTTTCGGATTATATATCTAAAAATATTTTTAGTTTTAAACAAAAATAAGTAATTGAGAGTTCAAACACAGACAAAACATAGTTGCATTCGCTCAAACGTATTTCCTTTTTTTTGCCAGCATTACGCCTGTCAAAATTCAAATTCGAACAAATTGATGTCGCCCCTCACCCAATATTTGCTGTCTGGTTAATAGATCCTCCTATAAATGATCACCCGCCATAAGAATCCACATTCAATCAAGATAAAATTGAGAATGGAAATAGGGAATGTGTCAAAGAGACAACAACCCGACCATAGAGCAGACAACAGCCGAAGGCCACCAATGGGTCTTCAATGCAGCGAGAAACTCCCGCACCCGGAGGCGTCCTACAGCTGGCCCCTAAACAAAAATGTATACTAGTTCAGTGATAATGGACGTCATACTAAACTCCAAATTATACAAAAGAAACTAAAATTAAAAATGATACAAGACTAACAAAGGCCAGAGGCTCCTGACTTGGGACAGGCGCAAAAATGCGACGGGGTTAAACATGTTTTTTGAGATCTCAACCCTCCCCCTATACCTCTAGCCAATGTAGAAAAAAACAAACATACAGCAGTACGCACAGTAAAACTCAGTTTAAGAGAAGTCCGAGTCCGATGTCAGAATAGGAAACAAAAGAAAATAAACAAAATGACAATAATACATAAATAACAACAGACTACTAGCAGTTACTGACATGCCAGCTCCAGACCTCAATTAAACTGATTGAAAGATTATGTCTTCATCATATGAATATCAGACACAATCCCTCTTATTAGGGGTTTAGTATTATACCGTCATAAAATATATGAGAAGAACATAACCTGTGTCATGCCAACAACTGGTTTTAGAATAAATATGTTTAATTCCGATGCAAAGACCCTATAAGTGAATCAATATTAAAGCCAAAATATGCAATTTTTAATGACCTGACAACAGTATCGTAACTATATCCTTTCTTAATAAGTCTGTTTAAAGGTTTTGTTAGTATATGAGGTGAATACTGACATTTTTGTGCTTTGTAAAGAATATTACCATAAAAGATTGGATGTGAAATACCCGAACGTATAAGATGTCTGCATGTTGAGTTATATTTTCGAATGATGTCCTTATACCGATGATAAAATTTAGTAAATGTTTTGACTAGTTTATGAAATCGAAAAACCCTGGTGTAATAATTTTTCAGTAATATATAAATTTCTCTCGCTAAAATCTAATACGTTGTTACATACACGAGCGAAGATGTCTAGATTGGGAATATGACACAATCATTATAGTGACAACCGCGTAAAGTTGTCGCTATTAAGTTGAGACACGGACAAATTGTATTGGTCAACCAATTCGTCATAGTGACCATAAAATTTGTGTCGTGTCGTTAAGTTTTTATTCATAATAACTGTTGGGGCAGTTTCTACGAAGGCACGTCCGGTTGGAATATGGATGTTAAAACCGATACCTCTTATTGAGAAAGAACAATGCTAAAAACACATTGCTAAAACTCTTTAAGAGGTCCGTAGGTTGCTGTTCTAATGCTCCTTTTCATACCTTGTCCTTTTTTTAGAGTGGCAGTAAATATTTTCTACCTACCATCCGGTCGCCCCAGTGCACAAAACTTAGTTCTAATCTGGTGATTGT